TTTTAACTTATGCATGTTTATATGGGTATTAGCAAGTATGTGAAGACATCTTAGCATCCAAAGTCATAGGGCACCAATCCTTTCAACTCAGGCCCATTGAGTCTGTTGTTTAGATAACTGCACAACAATATACAAAATTTAAACTTTTATATTATTCATCAACTCAAACAAATTTGATCTTGGACCTAAGTAGATAGAACTCAAATTGAAATAACAGAAGTTGTAGATTTTGAGGGTTTTTTCACAATAAAGACATAACCGAACCATTCGAGTGGTACAATAATTTGTTGCATTTTCCATAAAAATAAACAAAGGCAGGTCAAATGAAAAAAATTAGGTGGGTGAGTTCAACATTAAGATGTTAGTTTTCAGGACAAATGTTAACAGAATCAGTATGAAATGTCGAAATAAACGACAAAAAAAATAAAAATAAAAAATCAGCAAACTTTGACCATTATTGGCAAGAGAGTATAATTAGAGCACCATTGTTTGTTGTTAGTTTAAAAGAAAAAACTTTACCTCTCCATTGGGAAAGTAACGAACGGGCCATCGACTGGTATTGTTCCACACAGATCGTTGTTTGAGACATCACTACAAACATTCACACAATTAAAACCACAAAATTTTCAAATTTTTATTTATACCAAAAAAATAAAAAAAAATAAAAAAAAAAAACTATAGACTCACAAAATCTTGAGGTTGGATAGAGTCGTGAGCTCCCTAGGAATCGACCCGGTTAACTTGTTGTTATTTATCCGTCTGTGACAATCAATTACAAATTAAAGAACTTTTCACGAGTAATTCTTTAAACAATAAGAATACTTACAGAAATCTAAGTGACTTCAAGTTGGCGAATGATTTCGGAATTTTCCCTTCGAGTTTGTTTCCATACAAATCCATACTCACGAGCTTATCCAATTTGCCCAACTCCTCCGGGATTTTCCCTCTGATTTCATTTCTGTAAAGTTCCCTGTAAGGAATGCAAAATTTTAGCTCTTTCAACTGATTGCAAGTAGTAATTATTACAGACACAAGACAAAAAAGAGTTACACACTAAAGATTGATTGTAGTCGCATAAATGTCCCGAAAAGTTGCATAAACAGTTAAAGTTCAAGTCTTTAGTGACGAATGATGTAACAAGAACAACATAAAGCTACTGTAACACATTAACTTTGTCCCGAGTTTTGATGACTTAAAAATAATTTAACCACATTTTCAATATTACTAATACTCTACGACCCTGAGGTACGTTTTAATCTTGCGAAAAGGTTATATAAACCATTAAACTTGAAGTCTTCAGTGACGACTAATGTAACAAGAACAACATAAAGCTACTGGAAAACATCTAACTTATTTGTCCCGATCGATTGCCCTGAGATTAATTCATCTAAAAAATAGTTTTATCACATTTCAAGGGTGATTTGTTATTCTTTTAATCTTTATTTAAAAAACCTAACTCAATCTCATGGGCAGTTTTTGTAGTTTTCATTTCACCATTCTCATTTCTTGTTCAAAAATCCTGGTTTCATCAATCTACTCATTGATGCAAAAGACATTTTGCCCTTAATTATGTACTAATCCAATTTATATATAGTGTATACATACCATACAAGAAAAAAATAAGTTTGCAGCACAATCCCACTCAAGAAAATAAATATAATTCACAAAAAATGAGAGGGTTTTGAGTGTTTACAAATACTGAAGGTGCTTCAGTTCACCTAGCTCCGGACCTAAAGTCCCAGAAATGTTGGAATTTCCCAAGTCCCTACAAATAAAAGGACATCAATAAAACAAAATCATCACAAATCAGTAAAGTAAAATTCCAANTCCCAGTACAAAAGGCAATAAACACACACAACCCAAATGTCAAAAATTGAACTTTCTTACAAGCGAATAACATGGCTATCAGCATCACAAGTGACATGAAACCAGGTACAAGGATTCACGAGGGTCGGATCCCAGCTTTGTAAAACATTGTTAGGGTCCGAAAGTCTGATCCTCAGAGTATGTAAAGCATTTCCTGAATACAGATCGAAAAAAAAAATTAAGAAATGAAAATTTTATAAAGATGGGTCGATCAATTTTTGTAAAAGGGTAAAATGGGACAAAAGAAGATATTCATTTTTGCAAATTGAAATTTCAGAAGGCAAGCAGCTTTTTACCTTCAGAGTTCGTAGAGTGTCCTGTAGAAACAGAGTAGAGGAAGATGAGAACGGAAAAACAGAGCAGAGATGGAAAACCCATTTGAGAGAGAGAGTTTAGAAGGTAGAAAAGTTTGGAACTTGGAAGGTGAAAATGAGTAAATGGGCAATGAGAAGAATAAAAAGGAAAAAAGCGCAAAAGAAAAACAGAAGAAGAAAGAAAATGAAGTGTAGGGGGAAGGAAAGGACACATTTTTGGATGGTCAAATCAATGTTTGGACATTATTTTCACAAATTAGTGAATTATTGTGGGAATATGTTTTTCTATTTTTTACAAAAAAAATTATACTTATATTAGTGTCGTATATTTATTATCCATTTTAATTTTATTAATTATTTGTTTATATATTGTTAAAACTTATTTTGTTGGACTTTTATTTATCCATTTCAATTAAAGTATTTTCTTTTTATTTGTTGTTATAACTTATTTTGTTGGACTTTTTGCCAATAATTCTGTAGAATTGATAGGTCACGCTTTAGGTGTTGAAAGAGGAGACAAAGTACTGAGGTGGGGTCAACATTTTCTCCAAGAATTCTGCACATCTATTGTCTTCTTTTCTTTATTTTTTCATTTTTTTTTTACTTTAAGTAGTAGTATTTTTTATTTTATTTTTTGCTTGGGTATGATTATTGGCGTGGAGAATTTGCAATTTGTGGAGGTGGTGGGGCTGCACTAGGCTGGGGACAACCGCTACCTAACCACCGGATTCTCTCTTTCTGCAGTTGTCTGAGCTTGTAGTTGGTACAGTTCAGTATATATCTATTGATGCAAGTTTTTAGTCTAGGCCTGTGTTGTTTGTTTGATCTCATTTTTAGGTCGACTTGCCACTTTAGTTGATCTTCACCCTCTCAACATTTTTCCCACAATTAGATCAACTCACATGTCATAGACATGACCATTGGGCCGGATCAGACTCACCGTTTATGTCCTGTTGATTCACCCCATAATCTCGTTGATTGTGGGCTTCGAACTCAAATCGGGATCGAATCTGTGTTTTGACAGGGTTGATTTAGGAGTCATATAATGAAAATTGTCAATCCACCTAACCTGAATTTGGATTCGAGTTTTCTCCATGAAAAATCGAATTTAATTTTTAATCTGAATTTAAGAAATTCGAACTTGTTTCAGGTCCACAACAGTCGAAGTTTTAAATTTGGATTCTGTTGGTGTTGAATTGAGGTCCTTCCGACGGGTTATTACAGGCCAGAATCAGAATCAGACCCATCAATTTTTGAAGACATAATCGCATTTTTATTCCTAACTGGTACTCTTTACCCGTGCACATGCATGAGAGCCTTACATAGAGTTTAAATTCAATAATATAAATAAAAAATTAAAATAAAGCATTATTTATCATTAAAATTTAGTTGTGCACAACATAATATAACCAGTTACTCTATATAAAAATATTAATATCTTTTTTACTGGTTATTTTTTAAATTATTAGTGTTGTTTTTTATCGAAAACTTCAATTACTAGTAAATTGCATAATAAACTAATATATTATGGTGACACAAAACAGAATAAACTATTTATAACAAAATTATAAAGTTACTATCGGCCCGATGAGCCACCGTTAACGTCACGTTGATCCGCCCAAAAAACTCGTTCACTATGGCTTCGAATTCAAATGGGGATCAGAACTGGGCACTACTAGAAAATAATGAAATTCCAACGAAATATATTCCAATAGAATTCCAACGATAATTCCAGTTAGAATTTCCATTGGAATATATTACCATAGGATTTTCAGTTGGAATATAACAACTTTTTTGTAGTAGGGTTATCTGTCTGAAAATTGAATTTGAATTTGAAAAATTCAAGCTTGTTTCAGGTTCACAACAGTGAAAGTTTTAAAGTTGGGTCGTTGTTGACATTTGAGCTTCAACCAAAACATTAAGGCGACTTAATTGATCGTTGGGGATTATATAACAAATTGTCCCTATAAATAAAGGGCTTAAATAAGTTTGACAGTTTTTGGAGGAAGTTGAAAGCACAAAACTGGAACTAAACGGTATAATGGGAGATTGTTGATAAGGAAAATTATATGGTGTATATACATGAATATGCTTTCCTCATGAAATTATTTGTGTTTTGCTTTGAGCCTCTATGCTGAATTTATACACAGAAAAGTAGAAAATAGTCATAACTTAAGTGTGACACGCATTCTCATACAAAAACACTTCTTTTGATGATCGCTTTAGCAATTTAGTTTGTTTTGTCAGTTCTTATTCATATGAAAGAGACATCGACAATCTTCCAAAATATTACGCACATGAAACATTGCGCGCCCTTACGTAAACCCCCGATAAAAAGGCAATTTACTTTATTCATAAATTACTATGGAACCTGTGTTGGTATTTCAGGATTGTCAAGGTTGCCTGAACAAGTAGCACTCAGATATTACATTTACATGTCATTTATCTTAAGCAGTTAAGTGGTTTCATTAATTTCAACACTTTATTCTCTTCATAACAATTAGTTCTTTCATTAACTGGACCAAAGTACATAAGTTGTCAGAATTATTACAAGGATCATACCGTGTTACATGCAAGAATCAGTGGAATTCGATCGCTTCTTTGTCTCTGATCCATTTTGTGGCAACCCATTTCTGACCCTTCACAACCGGACAGCTTCCATGTAGTGAGGTCTAACAAATCCAGTTGATATCAGTTAGATTTCATGACAACAAAATGTTATAAGCAAAAATGTTGATTATAAAACATTAAATATTATCCTTCAGGTTTTTTCGCCTTGTAACATAAAAAACTACAGTGGTATCTTGTAAAATTCAAATACATATAACGGTGGTATATTGGGTAAATAACCTTATCAATAGTCCCGTTTGGAAAAGTCGAATAGAACAGAAGACCATCCCCTCTCCGTGGCCTCACCTTTAAACCGATGCAGCTTTGGTAATCATATCCAATATTCATGTTAGAGCCATTCTGCAAATCAAAAAATATTTTAAAAATATTTAATAATCAACCTCTTCAGGCAAATATGAACAAGGTGCTAAAGTTACCTCAAAGGGAAACATGGTTTCTCCACCTTCTTCCACATCAGATAGGTACAGCAAGAAAGATGCAATCTGTAAACATGGAATTAAATCGAATGCTAAAACTTTCCATTATTTTCCGTTAGACATCATTTCTATGCATGTATTATTCTCAAATTTATTTCAGGTGTGTCATTTCCTTGTTTAAACGCCTCATGTACGTAAATCTATTGTAACCAAGTGTAAAAATACATACCCTTTGACTTTTTGGTGGGCCATATGCAGCTGGGTCAAACGAGTCGTAGTGAGAAGCGTATCTTTGTCCCACTTCATACCTCAGAACATTAAAAGCCTGCAACATTGTGATATGCGACTTATCTCAGAAATGACCTGTAATAGAAAATTTTAATCTATCAAACTCTTAGACTAAAGACAAAATTGGCCGCAAAATAAAGCACTTCTAAAAATTTAAGCTTTTACATCCTAAAGAAACGAGATTATAAAGTGGCTTTTGCCGTTCGCATTGTTTCTAGTGTGTGATTTAGATGATAATATTTAATATAACTGCATTTTCTCTCTCTCTCTCTCTCTCTCTCTCTCTCTCTCTCTCTCTCTCTCTCTTTTTCCTCCGCTGTATCTAATTTGAAGTTTGTGATGAAATCAAAATTACTGGAGAATAGTCACAGCATTGAAGAAGGATTAAAAAAATTGCCTCCCCATGGCTTCTTGGTAACATTGTTGCTCTAGCAATTTTCTTCTCGATAAACTCCAGAATGCCCCTTTTGTCTTCTGATGCACTGATAAACATGCCTGAACTGTAATATTTGAGAAATAATTAGTACAGCATGCACAAGAAATTTGCTTGAAATAGCAAATGACATCACCATTGTTATAAAATTAGAGCCAAACACAGAATTAATGCAGCTACACCAAATACTCCAGATCATATTACATACTTTTAATCACTTTTTCACCAGTTACACGCCTAAAATAATCCATTGCAATATGCTAATTAAAATAAAGACCAGAGTGAATAATAAGAATCAATAATCTGATTAAGCGAAAATGGTATATATCTGTGATTGCTTGAAAAAGTTCCAATCGTAAACAAATCAATTCGTAATACACAAAAAAGTGCGTCTTGGAACAGCCTTCATGTCGAACTCGAGCATTCTATTTTCCCCATGCATTCCAAGCAGAAAATCAAAAAGCACATTAGTGCACCCTTTTCGTCTATAACGCTTACGAAGATTATTATAAATGGTAATCATACAATTATTTTTGCTCCGGTAAGCAACATTTTG